ACCGGCAGAACGAGAGTGAATATTTAATTACGCCATTTGTTTATCTCATTCCGCCGAATTACTAATTCGAGCAGCCGAGTGGCCGATATCCGCGATTGCCATAAGCGGCGATGTGTGCGCATTAAGCTCTATTTATATTTCTCATTATAACGGTCAAATTATCGTTGCTCTGTGCTCTTATAACTTCGCGACGTTTTATTGTAATTTAATTACGGACAATCGCGATAATGGGGATGAGATAAAATCTGTTTCGTATCGATCCACGAGCGCAATTCGGGCAAGTTAAACTTAGATCTCGTAATAACGGATATTTTGGCAGCGGTGGGTTGGACGGTAACGTATATTTTAAAAAACTATCGAAAAGTTATATAGCATGTCCTGGAGAACGCATAACTCTTGCCGACTTATGAAGCTATTTCTCAGCAAATTTTTGGAGGTTTCCTTCAAGAAGGAAGAATTATTGTACGACATCCTTTTTTCTCACAAAATTTTATGATACCGAATGTCAGGAGGTTTCAAAACAGAAATCCATGAAAATAAAGTCTGTTTGATATCGCAATTTTGTAGAATCGAAAAATTCTCAATTTTCTTCCGAATCAAAGTCGAAAGTCGCAAGATTGAGGTCTAATTCATCGAAATTCCTTATGTGCCGTTAATATCTCACTATTAGTTCATCGAAATTCCTTAATCGCTTCTAAATTAATTAATACAAGGCGACTAATGCCTCGCTGTTGAAGTAAACCTCCTTAATATGGTTTCTAGTATCTTCGAAGATAAGACAAGACTTTCGAGAACATCGTACTTATGTATCGTTCCGTACATCGTCGCCTCGACGCGCTTTAACTTTAGATCGACGTAACGCTTCAAGGGAATTAACGTCCTTAATTAATTAATGTCTCTAGCTCGCGGTCGATTTTTGCGCCGACGTGACGTGTATGAATGGATAACATATTATTAAACGTATTAATTAACTTACGGGATATTAATCGTTAACGTGTCTGGCTGTTGAGCTTGTGGAACAGGCGAAGAAGCGGCTCGATTGTCTTATTTATGGCGAGGAGCGCTTTGTGAGTCACGTGTGCGTCGATAACGAGATTGAGCTTTGTCTCGTGACCGATCGATATCGCGGTTGCGCTCGTGAAATATGCAACGTGTGATGGATGTGTCTCGCGCTAAGAATAAGAAAGCTTGCGATATCACATCGGAAATTAGTTGTCGAAATTGTGTATCAATTGTATATCGTGCGAAAATACTTCAAAATTTATTCGTGAGATATAAAGTTCGTTTCCGCGAAACAAAGCTTATTTCTGCGAATAAACTTTATATTCCACAGATAAATTTTCAAATATTTCTTCCTCATTGCAACACGATCGTCATTGACCGTGCGCTGACGTAAAAGCTTTGTGATTATTAACAAATGCAATTAGTTGAGAGTTTCAGTGTAATGTTTGGTAATTAATATTAAATATCGTAACAGGGTTACGATTACGATATTGTTTGATAATAATTGCAAAATAATCGGTGAAGTGAATTTTTCATTTACTCAAATTAATTAAATAGTTTGGTAAATAATACCAAACAATTTGGCAATCATTGGCAACTAAACAGTTTGACTATTACCACAATATTTAGCCATTTCGTGTGCTTATCACATATTGTGGTAAACATGATTAAATATTATGGTTTCATTTTACAAATTATTTGATGTACTACATAAATTGGTCATTAAGTCTTGGTAACAGATATCAAAACTTGCTAAATATTATTTGTTAATACTTATCAAATTATTTGATTATATTCACCTACATTTAATGGAAACTATCTCATCAAAGCATCTGATAATTATTTACACTGATAGAAAGAGAATTTTAATCACTCTTGGCCCTGATCATATTTTTTGATTATTCCAACACGAAAATGGTAGCAGTGATATGCACATAAAGTTATTGTCATTAATATTAGAATTTAATAAAAAAAATAGTTTCCTTTAGTTTATAGTACCTCTTTTACAGTACAGTCTTTTACAATTTACAGTAATTTTTTCTCTTCTGTAATTACAAATACTAAATATTTTTTTCTCAATTTAGATCCGATAGTTATTACAAAATTTTTTTTTCGTCATTGTATGCGCGATACTATATTTTAAAAGCAAATTCTCCCCGACCAAACAGTCGCATTTTCTTCTCGGTGCGACTTGACAGTTTCGATTATCATTTCCACTGTTCATCCTTGCGACCCGAGCGTACGATCGCGTGATTAATATCCTGGTGTGTCGACACTTTCGTGAGAGAATTGCTCACCTGACGTTGACGTTAGCAGTCCCGCAATGTACAACGATAACGCCACGTTACGCTAATCAAGATCGAACACTACGATCGCTAATAACATTTTTATTGTCGCCACCGTAGTTATGTTGTCCGTTCGCCTTGACCGATCGGGATTTTAAGTCGCTTTCGATTCGCTCGGTTATTCGCTCAGCGATCACGCGTTATTATATTATATGGTAAGGACGTAAACAAGGTGCATGGCAACGGACTCGAATCTCGCGCGCGAAAAATAATTCGAGACTATTGTATACGGATCCGTGGCGAAATTTCCGTCTGTTGCGAAATGGTGGACTTTTGTTTACGGCGCACCGTGATAACAGTATGTGCTTCCGCGAAATTTTCAACCGAAAAACTTGCGTCGTTAACCGACGTATTTGCGCGATGTGCCGTGTGTGTATGCCTTTTTCTCTCTCTTTTTTCTTCTCTCTCTCTCTCTCTTTCTCTGTCTTTCTTTGTCTTTTTCTCTTCCTATCGCTTATTTCGCGGCATCGATAAAAGCGCCGTTATCTAGTACGAAGAAGTTAAAAAGCTCGCGCGCAAGCCCGTGTACCCGATCCGGTGCTTCATGAATAATTCACAATTTATTGAATTTTAATATCAATATCGACGCGATCGCGGATTAATCGACTAGCATGACCGGCGAATATTTATGTACCTTCCTTCCTTGGTGACGCTCGACCTGCTATGATGCTCGGACAATTGCCTTTTTTCCTTTCGTCGCGATTCAATATTATTTATTTTTCAGTGACGCGCTTTCTGCGGGTGCGCTTCACTGGAATTTCCGCGGAATAGGAAAACAGCTCTCATTGAAATTTCATTATTCCATTTTCGCAAACGGAGAAATGAGACCGCGAGCGTGCGCGATCGCGTCGTTTAAACTGTAACGACTGCGAAACGAATTAAGTTGTCGAAACTTCTACATTAAGAGAAAAGAAAAATATCTAGGAAACAGTGAATATTTCTTTGGTGACGACTAATAATGAAATATTGTTCAAGTGAGAAGATATACATTTTCTTAAAAACTGAAGAAAATCTCAGCTTTTCGTAGAAGTGATTGTTTATTCTACTTAAGCGAAAGGATTTAGATTTAAGTGTAACATATGTTATCAGTACATCTATCGGATAAATGTTTACTATCTTTTAGATAAATTTTCTCTCAAGACACACAACCGTCGTGTTACTTGGTGTGGGAACAATGTTTCTGTAGTGAGACAAAATGTCTTATCGAAACAATTGCGCATTTTACTTTACACAGAATGTCTACTCTGAAATTTTTTTCGGTGATAACGAGATCTACGTGAACCGATTGTCGCGATTAAATGGCAACGACACGTTCACGTGCGAGATATGCGAGATACGCTACGAGGAAGATTCGTGATAACAATTGACTTCGCTTTCCTCGTGCATTACATCGGGAAGTGTCGCTGAGTAACGCGTGACGCGATATATCAGTCTAGATAAACGACGATAGCGAACTTTAGCTCGATTCAACGAGGACATTACACAACCTAGTTGAGTGACCAAGCGTTTCTTTTTAGCGAGAGCTTACGTAAAACGACGTGCGCTATAATATTTTAATTGAAATCGCGCATTTTGAGAGCGTGCCGCGCTTAAACAAGCTCGTCAATTGATCGCTCAGTTTCGACGACGTTTCTTCGAAAAGCGTACTTCAGAAGTTCTCTCGATGACGGAGGAACTCGTAGATGCTACTCGGAGCGAGGATCGCGCGCGCTTCTCGAGGAAATCGCTAAAGTCGCGAGAAATTCGCGACTCACGAGAGTTGCAAACGCGTGTTTTGTTACACGCGCGCGCGCGCGCGCGTGCTTTGTGTCAATGACTTACGGCCTGTTTGCATTCAACGCCCTCGTTTTCCCCGGTTTCGAATAACGACGCGCTGCTCGCCGATGGCCGGTCGTGCGGCGCGGCGGCCCCCGATCGATTTTGATTTCACGGCCAGTTTCACGGAAATTAAATCATTGCACGATTGGCGAAAATGACGGATCGCTTTGTCGTAAATTCATGCGGCGCAAAATCCTCACCGCCGCTCTCGCCATAGAGATCGTTTAACGGCACTTTATCGTGATCGATGTCCCCCTTTCGGCGTTCCTTCAATGAGCGCTTACGCGGGGGAGATTTCACGATCGCCGATATGTGTATAAAGAATGACTAAATAATGTATTTTATCCCAACCGCGAATGATAATACCGGACAAATCGAGACTTCCACACTGAGAGAATTTTATAGTAAAAATCACTACAGAATTTTGTAACCGAGGAAAATAGGTCGATATTCTGTAGTAATTTATTGTCCTTTCGTATTTTAGGAGCTGTGTGAAATATATATTTATATAAAAAGAAATTATAGTATTCTCTCCGTGTAACGACAGTCGGTATTACGGCAATGTCATGTTGAAAACACGGAGGAAAAAAAATTGACTGTAGATTTTGATTTTTTCTTCAGAACAGAGGCATCACTAATAGTTAGGGAGAGATTACGTATTAAGCACGTGTGGCTTTGTTACTCAGTTCAACTTATCTTCGTCACTATCTCGTCGTTCATTGTCTACCGCGACGCGTTATTTCAGTTGGTTTAAACGATTATTATGATGCGCTCCGTCGGTTTTCATTCGCTTGCGATTTACTGATAAAAATGTGCACGGCGGCGCTCACTCACCTGTCAAATTTCGCTCAGCCGCGACAGTTAAAATCTACCGTCGAGGATACAGAGATGTCCAATCTCTGCGCGTTACAACTGACTTCACGAGACTGTCTGTAATGAGAAGCTTTCCATTAGAAGCTGCTGAAATATGCATGCTTGTAATCAGGAATCGAGAGAGCGAGTTTACGTCAAAAATTTTCATTCGCCGACAGAAAAATTTTTTCCTTCTTTCATGGGGATGATTCAATTTCGTTCCCGCTTTATTATATCAGTCACTTTTCCTCGAAAATTGATCGAATTTGAGGAATATGAATTTTACTTAAAATTTCATTTAGGATAGCAATATTAATGCGATTATGAAAGAAAAATTGTATGTCAACGCTCGTGTCTAATATAATAATAATAATAATTAACAAGTAGTAATATTTCCGTAAACACACGTATCGCGAAAGCAAAATCTTAGACCAATTTTTCACGAATCAGACAGCCATGAAACATTTATGTTCTGAAGTCATCCTCGCTGACATAACGTTTTGATCATTTGTGACATTAATTTTTGTCGCATCCGGTTGAAATCCACGTTATGCAACCGTTAAAGTAAGCAGAGTCACTTTATGAATGTCAAGTCAAACGTATGACAAATTGAAGCTTCGTATAGAATAATATATCGTTTTAGAATAATATAAATGCCACGCGAATATTCGACGAATAAAGTTCCTGTATGAAATATTTCATTGGATAATTAGTTTGTCGAAGTTTATTACTTTCGCGGTAACGCATTTGTATACAAGAAGAGAAAAACGAGGTCGAAATCGTTGCTCTCGGCTGCAAAATGAAAGGATGAAACATACCAGCGAGTGTTGCTATCGATCGATCGGTCCAATTGCATTCGGAAAAATACGTTTGATTCGAAGGATTTCGGTCCTATTACATCTAGAACCGTGTGGCTATCATCCCGGTGAGCAAACACTTTCGACCACAAACTCGGCACCGTCCAAGGACTCCAGCTTGCTGATGAATGCGGTCACAGAGCGATGATTTCGACTTTAACGTCCAGTCAAGGCTCCACCGTGTTTGATTTCTAGCGATCTAGTAACCTGTGGTCCTTAGTCCTTCAAACACGATTTTGAACTCGGTTTATCTCGTTGCAGACGATCATATTAGGAATTTGCAACTGAAAGGAATATGATAAAATGAATTCTCATTACTTTTGTCGAAAAAATTGATTTATCACTACTCTCGAGTTGAAATCTTAGCCCTACTTTTGACCTGAACTTTTTAACATCTGTATATTCCGAAGGATCAATGTGTATTCAATACATACGGAAATTGAAAAACTACTTAGCGCCTCTAAATAGCAGAACACGCATAAAACGCCACTTGCAGGTTTTAAAGAGGGAGTTTCTCGGCAAAATTAGAAAATTAATTAGAAGTGAAAGAAGATTGATATAAGCTTCAGAGTATCAAAGTAGGAATATTAAATGTAGGAATATCAAATGTAGGAGAAGAGGTCAGATTATCAAGCGGAATACTGAGATCGAAAGTAGGATAAAAATTTCGATTCTCATAGCGACATAACTGTTTCGCGTTACCGATTTGTGTCGCCAATTTCATTTCGCTCGCAGTTGATTCTTTTTCTTATACGTTTTGTTATACGCGCTAAATTCAAGAGACGGATCGGAAAAGTTATCGCGGGATGTGAAAGAGGATTAAATCCCCAACACGGGAAATGTCGATATATATTCGAATAACATGCGGCGTATAATTTCACAAATCGATAGACGCTAGAATGCGGCGACGCAAATCCAAAATGATCGAGCAACAAAATGATTCACCATGCACAATTGTGAAGTATAGTTTGCGGCCGTTCTTACGCATTTGACGTTGTTCGACACGTACGGGACGCCGCTCACTTTGAATGAAAACGATCGAGAGAGAAAGAGAGGCATTTTTTTTCACGGGGAATGCAATAAGAGAAAAATGAAGCTGGAATTATAGGTTTCCGTTTAGTTTCGACACGCCGGTCGGAAGGAACTTGTAGTTTGTCACAGTCAGCTGTCGCGCGGCGAACTTTCCGAACTGTTCGCGTTACGCGCGGAAAATCGAGCTCACCATTATACAAGCACCGGTATATGACGTTGAAAACAATCGGCGTCCAATCCTCCACGTGTCCGATCACCTTCCCTGAGGACTGTGTTGTGTTGTTTCGCACGATAACGAAGACGTTCACCACGTGAACAAGCGACCTCGGTTACGTCGAGCGAAGAACGCGATTTACAACGACTCGCACGAGCTCCTTCGTGTATATAAATCCCGCAAGAGAGTCTTCCCCCTCTTGTGTGCTAAAATCTCGCCCCCCTCCCCCTCGCGCCGCCGCCCCGTGTGCCCCTCCTATTTTCAGTCGCTTCTGTTCGCTCGCTTCCTGCACGAATGATCATTTGATGTCACGTTTCTCGCTCCCGATAACACCGCGAATATTTTTCGACGAAACCGGCGCGCCTATTTCGGGTTCACCCTTTGACGGGACACATCGACGCGCGTTTTTCGCCGGGGTCGTTCCTCCGCCGCTGGAGAGCATGCAACACGCGCCACTGTGCGCGGCATATTGCGCTAACGGTGCAATTTTCTCGTCCGAGACACGTGGCACTTAATTAAATTTAATGCGAGTTGTCTGCAACACTTTCGATCGCCTCGTCTGCCCGCCGGGGCGTCTCTCGGAATTATTAAGAGATGCTTGCGATATTCTTGCGAATGGAGGTAATTGAAATTCGGCCAGAAAATTAGCAAAAATCTCAATTATCGTTATGTGAATTTCTCTGGACGCGCATAGAGAGAACTGATCTCGAGTATTTTGAATGAAAAACGATATAATTTCATGACAGAGAGTTTCTCCGCACAGTGCAAATTTAATATGTAACATAATTTTATCTCTCCGATATCGGCGATCCAAACTGTATAATGAATGTCGGAAAAAACAAAATGTGTTTGTATAAAGTCAAGTCAAAATTCCGAGATTATTAATTCAGGATAATGACGGACACAACGCAAAAATGACAACATCATCTTTTTGATTCACCTACTCGATTTATCAACATGACTAGGAGACTTGTGGTTTAGACGAAGGCCGTTTATCTTATACAAGATATCTCAATAAGATTATTTCGGCTTACTTTTATCAGCAATCAGATAACGTTAATATTCGTTCGATTAACATGGAGTGTTTTGCTACCTAGCTCATATCGAATTCTTTCTAACAAATGCATCATCCGATTAATTAGTAGCAATTGACATTTACGTGGTATTGTTCTGGTCACGATGCTTCAGCTTTATTTCTTTTTTCTGACCGGTCATTTTATGATCGGATTATCGCTGTGTTATCTCGTCTTATTTAGTGTTAAAATAATGACAATATAGTTTTATGGGTTTCTCAGAAGTTATATTGCATAATTTTTTTTAAGACACACAGTGGTAAAACAAGACAAATGAGAACTAAACTAAATGAAAACTAGTTGGTTCTGTCTCGTTCCGTCATTCACAGATGGCAATCTGCTAATTTACAGACGAGGGATCTTGGGTTATTAATTCGCATTGAACTATTCGCGTGGTATGTGTAACGACAAGATGACAAAGCAACAAGCCGGGGAATTAATCGATGTTTATTGAATTCAATTGAGTCTATTGCACGTTCATCAAGTCGCAACCAATGAAAGTCATTAAAAATTGGTCGTTACGTTCGTTGAAGCGCCGATGCCGAATAAACGACCGCTTATCGTTCATAACATTCATGAATATTAGGAGATGTTAATATCGATTCGACGAAAATGAGGAAGGCGATATTAAAATCGCGTCATCATCCTATATTAATCAGCCACTGCCAGCTTTGACAAAATCGTCGTCATATTCTTCCACTTTCTTTGGCCATGCCAACTGCAATCTTATCTGGCTTATTTCCGAGTCGAAGTATATTGCAAAACTGATATTTAGCATTCTTAATTTAATCGCAAAATCAAAAATAAATTCTCTCGAATGTATGACTTGGAAATCTCAGAACGCGGAGAATACACGGTTTTTATATTGTCATGTTTCTTATTTACTATATATTTACTGTATATCGTACATTCTGTGATAAAAAGTAATATTCAAGTTAGATACGTCGTCCATTCATCGCGATATGATCGGCATTCATCGCGATATGATCGGCACTGCTGATAGTAGAAACTGTCATCTTTATCGAAGGAATGTCAGTCTTCACCGACAAACTCTTCATCAGATTCTCTACTCTCTTTCAACCTCCATTTAGGACCGCGATTTTATTCTGTACTAGCTTAAATTAGCGTCAAGGGGATGAAATCAGAGGAAGGGTGTCCAGATTTCATAGTAGCATATATTTTTTAGAACCCTTGAAAGTAAATGCAAAATTTGGTCCAGATTCATCAAAGAATTTAGGACTCTGTAGGAGACACATACAGACAGACAGAGACAGACATCCTATTATATATAACAAAATCGACATTCCATGTCTTTAATTCAATCGCGAGGTGAAACAGATCGAAACACATTTCTCTCGAATCTATCTAATGAGTCATTAGAAATTCAGGAATCCGCGAAACTAGAACTTCTTTACACTCATATGCTTCTCATTTACTATCGCGAAAAGTAATTTTGAGTTAGGTACGCTGTGTGTGCAAACAGACGGTACAAATGACAGTGATCGTGATACAAACATCACCAATGTAACCGACAATGGGACCTAAGCGACTGACACATTGACATTATCATTTATGAGGGGTCTAATTCCGACGGAGGCAAAATAGAGGGGCATCCAAGTGTGTCCATTCTCATGCAATAAGTCACACGTGAGCGATACGCTCGCGAACGTCGATGACGGCGAGTCACTCGTGAGACATACGGCGCCGTGATGTTATCAAATGACGAGACGAAAGCGCGACATGATGCAATTCGCGGCACATTCCGCGAGTTTTTCACCCGCGCTTACGGCCAGCCTAGCCAGGCTCCAGATTGTCCGGATTGCACGCGATTGGCACGAATTCCAGAAGTGCGATGAATGGCCGAAGGCAACGCCGACGGCCTTCGATGATCTCGCGTCATCACGACGATCTCGAGGAGAAGACCGGTCAGTGAATAAGAATTCATCTGTAAACAGATTTAATTACGTATAAATTTTGCGCGCGCAATCCAATAATTTAATCACCTCTCTAAGAATCGAAATGTTTTAAAAGCGTTGATTGTTGTAATTTCTCAATCATCGAATATGCTCCTTATTAATAGACGGGGAACGACAGTTCGCATTCGGCTGTACATGGAAAGGGAATTTTATAATAAAAATTGCGTAGATTTTTTTCTCCAAAATATGAGCATCGCTGGTAGTAAATAGATATTTCTGATAGTTTATTTATGAACTATTAAAAGTACAAAGAATTGTTATATATGAAAAATGTATATATTCTCTTCGTACAGTTGACTTTGTCTTTTTCTAAAGTATGAATTGTTTTAAAATTCTGATACGTTACATACACACACAAATATATATTTGTCCATGACCAAAACATTACATCTCGAGTCGATGGGCTATTCGCATATTGCGACGCGGAGTGCATATATCGGTGCGTTGTTTACATTTTCCGACGGTTGATCAAAACATTTCGTTAGTTATTGAAATATTTCAGCAGAGTCAGTATTGCGTTAGTTAACACACCGTTTTCCGAACTGCATCTACGCGAGTGTCAGTGCCAGTGCTAGTGAATGTTTGAAATTACGGAGCAGTTAAGGCAGAATGCTAGATTGGAAAGCCAAGACAGGAGACGCAAGACGCCAGGATGTTGCCGATGGTACATCATATATCTCCAGGTGTGTCAAATCATTTATTATATAAGACGTTTGAGGAACTTCACGAGAATACGGAGATACCCGAGTCGAAATTTAGAATCTCTAAGGCTTGTATTCGTAGTCTCCGTTATGATTTGATAAATAATTCTAACATCATGAATCTCCGATTTTATTCGTCAATGTATTTATTCCATACAATATCGATCCAAAACCGAGTAACGATTCATGAACATAAATCTGTAACGTGGTCTAAATCTGTAATGATGATCTCAATCAAAGATCAGAAATAAATTACAACTATGAATGCTATGAATGCTGGCCCAGGTTTTCAAATACTGAAATATGTTTCTCTAATAATGTTCTTTTGGGTGACAAGTTCCATTTTGAATCCACCAATGTTCTTTTCCCACTTCTGTTTAGCTTTATATTGTTAAATCAAAATTTAAATCCTTACCGATGTTTACACAATTATTATTTTGCTTTTATATCTCTAAATTCCATCGAAATTTTTCACGCCGACAAAAATAAATAAATAGAAAGGATTGTAGAATAGCAAGTTTGTGATGCATATTATTGATCCTAATATTTATCCATATTAATTATTTGATATTTACTTATCTCACATATTTTATCTGTAGTTAAGTAAATTACATAATAAATACATTGCTCATTGACATTAAAAATAAAGATTAAACACATGTGGAGAAATAACTAGATTAAATCAAGGTAGGACAATAGCCAGTATAATATTATATCTCACGTGATTCTCGATTGATCCTTTCGGTTCGATGGAAAATTTTCGGGATTAATGTGGAACTAAAATTCTTTGCGGTATCAATCGTGATCGGGAATATAACTGAACGGGAATTCCGTTCTTGGAAATGTGCAAATTAAAGTCTTTCGTGGCCTTAAGGTTACTATGCTTAACACGTACCGTGTGCTTAACACATTCCTCTTACCTGGTTCTGTGCTCGTTCCTGGAATCACAAAGTAGAACACACTTAGGCAAACAGATCTTTCTAAAAAAATTTTTTGTAACGCTTTCACCATGAAAATACACATAACAGTACAATGGTTATAAACGAATATCTTCTGCATATAGTTAATTTAATAAGGAACATATTAATTACAGCATGTTCGGAGATGAAATATACAGATAGCTTTTAACCGAGAATTTCAGATAAATGAATGTTGCAACGGTTGTGCAGATAAAAGCATTTGCAATTTAATGGACGATATATTGTTAATACAACCGTGAACACGGAAATATATAAGTTGAATTCGTTTACAAGCGAAGGTTCCAGCCGAACGAGAGCTTTATTGCATTCGCGAGTTTTTTTATGTACTCTAACGTTTTATCTTTTGCACTCGTGTGATTCACAGTTTGCGGTAATATTTCATTTTCTTCTCAATTGTGAACGACCATCGCGAATTGGATCT